TGTGTGTGTGTGTGTGTGTGTGTGTGTGTGTGTGTGTGCGCGCAAGCTTGCGTGTGTGTGTGTGAGATCTAGTTTGCCCATTATAGCCAGGAATGCACCCGCTCTCAGATCCAGCAAACCTCTCCCTGCTCCACTGTGTGTGTGTGTGTGTGTGCATGAATGTATGCGAGTACACGTGTGCATGATTTTGCATGTGTGGGCGCATGCATGACTGTGTTTTTGTGCTGCGTGTGTGTGTGTTTGCAGAGAGAACAGTTTGGAGAAGTTCCCTTGCAGAGAGATATTGCTTCATTTACTAGTTCTGTTTTTTTTTTTTCATCTTGTGGTTAAACACAGACATATTTCAAGTTTAGTGGTAATTTAGCCAATTTAGCTAATTCACCAATAGACATGGATAAAAACACACAAACAAATTAAAACACAATACTAAAGTAGAAAGCCACTCTAGCTTCTAACAGATCATTACCATTAAAGCTACTGGTGATTGATTCATGTTCCAAGTCATTGAAACACGAGGAACAAACACATAATCAACACTGCATATTCCACACTATATTACACAATAGACCACTACAGCTATTGTTAAAGAAGGAAGAATGCATGCATAAACATCAGCCCCCCCCCACACACACCAATACACACATGCTACCCTTTTCCAGGAAGGTGCTGTGTATTGCAGGACAAGAAAGAAGGAACAACAGAGAGATTGATAAACAACAGCATAACTTTACCATCCCCACTAAGATCTTCTGCAGGGTCCAGGAGAGCATGCAGGAAACGGGACAGCAGAGGAGGAGGAGGAGTAGCGAGAAAGAGAGAAGAGAGGGAGGCAGAGCAGAGAGGAGAGAGAAGAGGAGAGAGGAGAGGTTAGAGCATGAAAATCTTTGAAACGACCTGGGAGATGTCGCAGGATCTGCAAAAGCCAAAAACTCAGCAAGCAGTTAGTACAGATCCAAAATATCTCCAGTGAGTTAACAGCTTCCATTAATGTTGTGATGATGACATAGCAAAGAGATGAATGAGTGCAAGAAAACAGCAGCAACATGAATTCTTCTTTAGCCCTGGAACTGGCTACTTCTGTCTTAAATGTAAGATTGTTGTTCAATGGTTTGAACCCCGTTTACTCCGGCAATTCACTCAGAAGATTTCCAATCAGGAGCCCATTTTTCAAAAGTATCTTTAGGCTTCATCATTTAAATACTTTGAGAAATATTTAGAAATTATGAAATATTTTAATTAAAGGCCTCCTACCAAATAGTAGGTAGCTAAGAGGTTAGAAAGAAGCTTGAAGGAGAAGTTTCTACGTCTCTACACAACTTTTTTTCTGCGAGCGTTCCTGCGAGCTACTGACGACAGCTGCCAAAGCCACAGATGGAGACACGAGGGCATCTTCTGACCCACTTAGGATGTCAACATTACTGCGGGAAACATTCAACTCATCTATATTGGTTATTGTTTTGTAGAATTAACTTTCAAGTGTTTCATGAACATTATTTCAATTTTTATGACAAAGCTTGTCATTGTCTTTAATCACAGAGTAACAGTCTTGAGCTGAAAGTGATGAGTTGGTTGATGGGGAACATACGCAAAGAGCGATGAGTCACTACTTAGCCACAAATAATGAATTTGAATTGACTGAAATGTAACATTGAAAATAAAGAATAAAAATAACTGTGACCTCAGCATTAAGGTTTCAGCATTTTACTCCATCTCCCTACATCCACTCACATCATTCTGTTAAATCTCACAAAGATTAAAAATGAAAACGACGATCTTTGACAGCCCTTGTCAATAGGCTCAGGATAATCTGAATACTTGATCTAAAGTGTGAGAGGTGAAATGTAAAACAGCTGGAGAGTCAGGAATAAAATGTATCACTGATGCATCAAAAACACACGAACCCCAGGTTTTACAGGAGGTACCTCTCACAGTCGTTATTTGCGTCCCAGTTCTTTTAATGCACATCAGCTTGGTTATATGCAGCAACATGAACACCAGTTATTGTGGTTTAGTCGTGTTTGTCCTTTTGTGAAGGACTAAATTAGTTGCAGTAACCACGCAGCGAGGACAGAGACAGTTGAGTAGAGGAGAGCATCCTTAAAATTAAATGATACTTTTTGAATCCACAATACAATTGAAAGTTAATCAAAAAACTTTTCCAAAACTCTGACAATAATTGAATGGCTTTTATTTTAGAGTCCTTATGAACCAAATGAGTTCATAAACCAGAGTAAAACTTCTACAGTCGCTTCTACAGATGTTTTTTCCGGACGTGATGCGAGTTACCCAATAACCACAACGATCAAATCAGGCATTTTAATTCTCCCCACATCACAATTTTGTGGATACGCTCCTCTACTAACTTTCCAATCAGAGCCGAGGATACCGTTGGGCGGCGAATCTGAACAGAAGACAAAGGGGAGGAGGAAACGCCGCGCCTTGGTTGGCTTAGGAGGGGTTGATGTCACTAGGTCTTCAGCCAATGAGGAAGTGAGGGGGAGAGAGGACAGAGAAAAAAAAACACAGAGTGAATGGATGAGGGGAGGGATGTGTGAAAGACCGAAGGGGGGAGAGTAAACAAAAAAGAACGCAGGAACAGAGAGGATGGGATGAGAGGGAGAGGCCTTCCCCACAGAGGAGAAAACAATGAGAGAGGAGAGGAAAAAAAGAAACAGATGTTGGAGGACACGAAGAGGAAGAAAGGAGCGAACTGACGGTTTCTGACTGTTCATCTCACCTCTAAATATGAGCGTTTTTTTAAATTATCTTACCTGAGACGGAGATCGCTCTGACTCCACTCCTTACCGCTTCCAACTTCTTCTCATTGTTTGACACTCTGGAGAAAAACAGAATACGGTAAATTAGATGAGAAGTACACATCAGCACCAGAGGTAAACACTCAGGTGACACAACACAAACATACCGACGCTGAATCAAAAAATATCAGCGATTTCCAGCATCAGATTTCCAATAAAACATGGAAACTGTTATTCACATTGCGCGTTGGGTCGGATGGAAGTGCTGCAATCGCTATCTGTAAACGAGCCTGCACTGCTTCAATTATCTCGCTGCCTTTGCCGTGGTCTCTCTCTGTCATCTGAGCTCCACTATCTTTACATCACAGACCACAACGGGCAGAGAGAGAGAAAAAAAGAGAAAAGGCGGAGAGCGGAGAGAGAGTGAGTGTGCAGCAGACAGAGGGAGGAGGAGATTTCCAGAGTGTCTAAAAAACCCCTAAGTGGAAAATATTTGGCTTCTAAACTTTATCTCCTTATTTGACCAGCGACGGACAGAGAGAGAGAGAAAGAAAGAAAAAGAAAGAGAGGGATTTGAGTTTAAATGACCTAAAGTACATGAAAAGTTTTGGGATGCGTGCGGCTGACAGGCCACGTCCAGGCTGCCGTGCTCGCAGATAAACAAACACAATGAGCTTGGCTGACGCCACAGTGTTTTCTCTGTAAATCTTTTTAAGGCCTGATGACTCAGTGCGAGAAATCCTAACTAAGGATCATTTTGAAGGAAAAACATTTTTGTTCAGATTTTCTGATGCAACACTTACATAAGCTTTTACTAAAAAACCCAAAGTTTAATATTATTTGGGAAGTTGTGGGGAAGTTTGGTGTCTATTTATTTATGCTGCTATGAAATACAGAAAATTCAACGACTAATGAGTCAGTGTGAGAACTCTTATTACAACATTTTAAAGGAAACATTTATTTGATTTTCTCCTGGAAAAAAAATAATTTTCGTCCTGTATTTAAGTGTAACAATCTAGTTCCATACTAAGACTAATTATAATTACTTTGGAGGAAATGTCTTGGTAATGATTTCGAATTTACCAAACGTAGATATGAAACATGTGACATACAGTACAGTACAAATACATTTAATTGATTGATTTGATTGATTAACATTTTAGAAGAATTATATTACAGGTTTGGTGAACTTCTCACAGTCAACACACCATGTTCATGTAGAACAGACAGAGAAATGACAAATGATGTGAATTACATTTTTTTTTAAAGAGACAGTTTATGGGTTATTGTTATTTTTACTGTAACAGTACTAAGAATAGTTTGACTTACTTTGGGATGGAAGGAAGTGCTCTCTCTCCCTCTAGAGGATGAAAACAAACAGTATAATGTTTTATGACTCAGGCAGGACATTAAACACAGTACACAGGATATAGCCACAGTTTCTTCTGTGTATAAAATACATTATACAGCATCAGAACTGTATATAAACATGGGGACTTGTGCTGTAGTTCAGTGAATCTTGCAGCCTTTATTAAATGAAGGATTATACAACAACAGTAATCAAAATGTTATCACTGTAAAACCAAATAACAGCAAATATATGATTATTTTAAAAGCAAATGTTATAAATGAGAAATATTCTTAGTGTTGAGGATAAATGCAGAGCACATAGATTTGTTAGTCTAAAAAATTATTGTATCTAGTGCACAATGTCCGTAAATAGTATTTGATACTGACGAACAGAGGAACTAGAAAAAAAAGAGGAAAATACAGTTTCATACCTTTCTGATAACGGACGATGAAGGAATGAGTGTCCATGGAGACAAGTCGACAGTAGCCATCAATCAAGTCAGCCAAGTTTTCCGCCATGGTCAGTGATGCTGTTGTAACTGTAAGAGGCTGAATGTTCACACACAGACACAGACACACACAGACACACACACACATACACACACACACACACACACACACAAGATGTGGCCTGTTACAAAGAGCCATTATCTCAGGCGACACACATACTCTTCCATGTCACAGCACAGTGGGGGTTTCCAGCTGCTCCTCGAACCAGAGGAAAACCTTTCTCTCTCTCTCAGTGGGTTTGTAAATAAATCCGATACTTTCAAATGTAAGAAATACACAAAAACTCTAATCCTACAGCTGTGGGTGTTGAGAAGCTTCTCTTATGTGCTCAATGTAGAGAAAATGACAGCGAACAGAGAGACTGGCCGTACCTCAGCCGCTCCAGCTACATTCAGCTGTAACATGCCTTTCCTGTCCTTCTCCTCCATAGACGAGTACTGGATGGACTGAACCTGGTTAAAGTTTGCTAGATGGGTGGGCTGGGAACAAATAGAGAAACACAGAGATAGAAGAAATTAAGTCAAGTTAATGTAGAAAGCTAATCCTGTCGATTCAATCAATAACATTGTGGGTATTTTAATCACAGAGGTAAAGCCTGAACTTTCCCATTAAGTTACTCTGCTAACTTCTGTGACACTTAGTTTAATTAATATTTGGATACAGAACTTTATCAGTCGTGATCCTAGAAGAAACTCACCGTGGATCCCTTGTCTGTGAGGTAGCTGATCCCTTCCTCGGGCCCGATGGCTAACTCCACCTGAATCACCCAGCTGGACTGTTGAGAAGAAAGATCAAGAATAAGGAGGGGAGAAGAAATGGAAATAAATATCAGAAAATCTACTCATTCTTAGCTTATATGCATCACATCTCTGATACATGCAACACCTAATACTACCAACAGGGGTCAACCTTGCACAACCAACCAGAGCTGTCACACTTTATGAGGACACAGTAACGTGAAGGCATGAATGGAAGAAACCTACACCAAGGGCACATTTGAAGCACTCTTTGTCATAGCGGTAGACCGGCGCAAGAATCTCCAAGAACTTGAGGATGCACTGTTCGTCGTTGAGATTGGCCACCTGCTTAAAGGTCTGCTGGATCAACTTACGGAGAGTTTTAGCCTGAAGAGACAGAGGGGAGACGAAAGAAGTTAAGGTCAAACAGTCATCGTTCATAAATATTATTCAGCCAAATTGTTAACAGCCAACACAAGTGAGTGAGAAAGGTTCATGATGACATTGGTGTGTGTTTTTCTGTGTGGGTGGAGTGACAGCGGCTCTAAGAGAGGATGGCATTGATTGACCATTAGGCCACTATGGTGCCGATCAAAGTGACCTCAGCACTTCAGTGTTAGGGGCACTCACAGTTCAGATCAATACCTGCACACGTGGGTGCTGTTAGTTACCACTCACATTAACAACAAAGAGTCCGTCTGTTTATCTCTATAGTAACGTGGATCTCTCAGTACAACTTAGTGCTCTAACACAGAGTGACAGTTACAGTCACACGCTCACAGCTGATTTATTCAGGTTATGTCACTATAGAGGGGACAGATGGGAAATAAAAATCCATCTAGGAACATTATACTGTCATTTACAATCCTCTACACTTCACGACTTAATGATACAGTACACACACACACACACACACACACACACACACACACACACACACACACACACGTGAGTACAATATGCCAAACATAATCCTCTATGTCTGATGAATCGCTAGAGCACAATCGCATATACGTGGATTTAAGACATCTGACCTTTCAACCCCACTTATCATCGCAGCGCTTTACATACATATATACAGTATATGTGTGTGCAGATTCACTGACCAATGGACATAAAAAAAGTGCATCAGTGACGATGGATCAAAACCCACACACACACTCAATACATAAGCTGCTTTCAGTCATGAACTGAACTACGGACACTTTACTGTGATTGTTCCGGAGGGGGTTTGCATGGCAACTAAAATATGGAAACATTTCCAGAAGCTTTCCTGCGAGCTCCTTAGTAAAATGTCTGGAAAATGTCAGAGTGAGCCCATGTGAGAAAACAGCAGGAAAATGTACGAGTTGATGACGTTTCTAACATGATTGATGTGCTGTAAACAAACACGGGATTTCTGCAGCGGAATTTAACGTGCTGACATTTTCCTCCCGTTGTGAAAGCATCTGGTGGCACAATCTCATGCTGAGTTCTTCATATGCGATAGGCAAAGTTAGGAAAATGTCTTGTCCCAATTTTCCCAATTTCAGACTTCATGTCTGAAACCAGCTGTGATGTGAGAACACATATCACACACGCGCAGACGCTGTACGGACAAACCAAATTTATAAATAACTCTCCATATATAGATTAAGATAAGGATTAGAGGGGATTTAGTGCAGTACAGACTAGGCTTTAAAAAACGTGAAGATTTACAGTAGACTACTGCATCACATTAAGGTCATTCTGCACAAAATAAATGAGCACTTTCAAAGCTAAGGTTATTTCAAAGAATTTACCAGTTGTATTGATTTGTTGACAGAAAATGTGGAACAAACAGTCAATGGTTGATTTCGTGTGAGTCTAATGAGGCTTATATCCATATAATCGCAGGAAGTTCAATCTGTATGACACACTGTGTATTTTTGGAGGCAAAATCTCATTTTCTA